GGCCAAATCAGCTTAATTTTTAGGACAAAATTAAATAACAATGGGATAGATTTATGTGAGTAAACATGTGATGTCAGCTTTAAACCAAACCAAAATTTATCACAAAGAAAATCAAAGTGCAGAAATTAAATGCAAAAGCAATAATAAAGAACACATAAATTTATAGTGGTTTGATCAACCTGACCAACGTCTACTCTCCGAAGCCTCTCCTTTGGGTATTGAACTAAACTCATTGACTCTCCTTTTTCTCCCACAACAAAGTAGAGAAGCCTTTATAAACCTCCTTTCCACCGACCTCGGCGAGGCAGAGAATCCAACTCCTTTTGCTTCCTCCTGAAGCAGGCAGAGAACCTCAATCAATTGCTAAAGTAGACCTCTCTAGAACCCCCAAGGAACCAAGGATGATGATTGAAGAAGATGATGACGGATCCTTACTTGGAGCAACCTTTTTGAAACCCCTCACAAACTCCACCTCACAAGATCCTCTCTTTCTCCCTTTCTCTCCATTTCCTCTTGGCTCTCTCATATCAAGATAACAGTAAAAGATGTACTCTTGGGTAGAACAAGAGGTCTTATATAGAAGAGCTTCAAAATGGCTCTTAATTGCAACAAACTGACTTTATTGTCTAGGATGATATAAATATCATCCTGTACGATCAGTACAAAATTGGCTCAATCAGTCAGGATAATCTGGGACAATCATAAGGTTTTTTATTCATATCGTCCAGGTAGATAGGCTATCATCCTATATGATTAGTACAAGTCAATAAATATCATCTAGACCATCAGCCTGAATGGATGTCTGGAAGATGTAAAAAAATAACTTAATTATCCAGGCTGATCTCATGATCATCTCGAATAATTAGTTCAATTCAGTATACATCATCCAGAGCATCACCCAAAATAGAACCAGGATGATGTTTGATCATCTAAGAAGAACTAATGTTTATGAACTGATCATCTTGATCGATCCTACGATCGTCTAGGACGATATGATCGAGCAATCAAACCTTAATTTTTTTCCTTAATTAACAGATTAATTTAGGCATAATTATACTGTATCATCTAGGATGATGTCCTGGATGATGTTCAAAAATAAAAGATGCTTAAATAGCTCTGGCAGGTGATTCTTTATGATTTGAGCATATCATCCAGGATGATGATTAGATCATCCGGGATAATGTACTTAATGACGGTTTCTTTAACCAGGCTACCCTAATTAAGTTTCTATTTTTAATTGATTATTCATGAAGATTTTTTATTGGCTAGGACGATGTGATTAAAAATTGAGAACTCTAAAACAATCAAAATTTTTCCCTCAAGTGTGTGTGTGCATGATTACTTTTCATCGGGACCCATATCATTATAATTGACTCAAGAAAAGGTAAAAGATAAAAAATTGACATAGTCCTAGTCTACCCAATCTTGAGCTGGCTTGAGTTACACTTGATCTTGTGGACCTAAAATGTTAGTAGGTAAGGCAGTCATAGAGAAGCAGAAGTATCATAAATATTTGCTATCATCAAAATTATATTTCTTGAAATCAGATTCACAATAATCTCTCTCTTGTTTATGATGGTAAATATAAAATAATTAAAACTAAATAAAACATGAACAGAAGTGAAAATAGTATGATGAAACAACTCAAACACTACACCCCCTTTTGACATCACAAAAGGAGGAAAAACCAGAAAAGAAAAGCAGAATTGAAGACAAAAATGAAGAACAATAGCAAAGTTATTTTTTTTTTATTTTTTATTTTTAATCAAAGAATGAATATGATAAAGTCTTCATGTGATTGAATTTAAAGAATTGTAAGACCAATGAGTTAACATCACAAAATCCAAAAATGGTAGAATATCTGATCCTTTTAACCTTAGCTCGAACTTCTCTTAGGGCAAAATCGTCTTTTCAAAGTAAAAGACCAAACTCAGAAAAACCAATTGGATAAGAAAAAAAGATCCATTCTAAACTTGGTTTTAGAAAAAATATCTTATAGAATAATATACTAAAGTAATTTGTTACGGTCGCAAAATTCAAAATCAAGGCTTTGAAAATATCAAGTGAAACATGAGTTCTTCTAAGTTTTAAAAGTTTGAAAGAAAAGAGAGCTTGATTTTGGTGGGCTCATTTTATTCCTCTTGTTAATTGATTAGCACACTTTGCACATCTTTTAATTTTTGAAACATTTTGTGTATATTTCTCAATTTGGCGTCATTGCACATCTTTTGATTTGGCGTCATTGGCCACTTTTTTTTTATTTTTGTAATATATACCCCTTTTCAAAACTCTTAAATACTCTTAGTTGTGAGTATTTCTTTCATATATTAGAGAAGAAAAACTCTAAAATAAGGAAGAATAAACCACAAAACAGAATTAATTTCATTTGATAAATACAAAGACAAGATTATGAAAAACCTTGAAAGTAATATAAAGACTTTGAACATTATAAATTTAAGACAGATTAATGTATCATGATATAAAAGATCTCAATCACAAATTCCAATTATTAGTTTGAGATAGACTTTTATTTAGAAAATAAAATTACACCACTAAAGGAGGTTAGAGGAAGATAAACAATCAACAAATTTTCTCCCTTTAATTGATTTAGAAATGTAAAACATTGACTATAAATTTTTCAAAAACAAAAATATGGTATAAAATATCATTTCAGCTGTGATCACAAAAAAAAAAACTAAAATAATAATAATAAAAAAATAAAAGCTAGTAAAAAGTAAAACAAATAAAGTGAAATAAATAAAGAAAGTAATAAAATAGAAAATTCAGAATTCAGTAAACATCAAGTTCATGCACTTATGTCAATCACATCCAATTTGATCCTTAAGATGCTGAAAGTGTCAAAAACCAGTGATTTAGTAAAGATGTCAGTCAATTGATTCTAAGTTGTCACTAGTTGTAACTCAATGTGTCCTTTGGTCACATGATCTCTAATAAAGTGATGTCTTATGTCAATGTATTTGCTCCTTGAATGTTAGATAGGATTTTGAGAGATGTAGATGGCACTAGTATTGTCAGAAAGGATTGAAATTATGCCTATAGGTAATCCTAAATTCAGAATTTATTATTTCAACAAAAAGACTTGGTCCACACTTCCTAAGGCAAAGTACTTAGCTTTAGCAGTGAAAAGTGCAACAAAGTTTTTTTTTACTAGACCGGGAGACTAAAGACTATCCTATGAATTGATAAGTTCCAAAAGTGCTCTTTCTATCCACCCTACATCCAAAAAAATTAGAATCAAAATATCCAATAATCTAAAAAGAAATGTGGTGCCTAGGATATCAGATTCCTAAGTTTTGGGTCCCCAAAAGATATCTAAGGATTCTTTTAACTACAGTCAGGTGAGATTTTTTAGGATCAACTTGAAATATAGCATAGAGACAAACACTAAATATTTTATCAAGTCGGTTAGTAGTCAGGTAAAGTAAATATCCAATTATCCCTCTATACATTTTTTAATCAACAGATTTTCTATTTAAGTCCTTACCCATCTGAATATTAGAAATCATGGGAGTATTTATTGGCATGGGTTTATCCATTTCATATTTCTTCAAGATGTCCTTAATGTACTTTGATTGATTTAAAAAGATTTCATTATCCAATTATCTTATGCTAAACCCAAAAAGTAGGACAACTCTCCCATCATACTCATCTCAAACTCCTTACTCATTATTTTAGAAAATCATCACATGGATTTTTATCAAAAGTTCTAAAAATTATATTATCAACATATAACAAAATAATGAGTAACTCATCACCTACTTTTCTTAGAAAAAGGGTGGTGTCTATACTTCCCTAAATAAAATCCCTCTTTAGTAAAAATGTGCTAAGCCTCTCATACCAAGCTCTTGGTGCCTATTTTAATCTATATAATGCCTTTTTTAATTTGAAAATATGATTTGAAAATTGGAAACTCTCAAAACCTAGGGGTTGCTCTACAAACACATCCTTATTTATTACCCGATTTAAAAAAGGCTCTCTTCACGTCCATTTGGTAAAGCTTAAATCCCTTATAATAGGCAAAGGTTAGTAGCACTCTAATGGCTTCCAATCTAGCTACAAGGGCAAAGGTTTCTTCAAAATAAATCCCTTATACTTGGTTGTACCCCTTAGCTACTAATCTCACCTTTTTCCTAACCACTACACTAGAATCATTCATGTTGTTCTTAAAGACCCATTTGGTTCCAACTACACTTTGTCCCTTTGGTCTTTTTACAAACTGCCAAATATCATTTCTAATAAATTGGTTTAATTCCTCTTGCATGGTTAAGATCCAAAACTAATCAGATAAGGCTTGATTAATATTTTTGGGTTTAGTCATTGAGATAAAGGGAGAGTGGTTTACTTCCTTCTAAAGTCCATGCCTAGTTCTAATACCTTCATAAGGGTCTCCTAAGATTAGTTCTTTAGGATGACTCAAAGAATATCTCCAAACCCTAGGCATGGTGTGTATAGGTTCTACCCTTTCCTCTAAATTTGCATTTTCTACTCCTTGGGTAATTTCACCTATACCTTCATCCTTTTGTGGCTTTACAATCTTCTCAAAATTTTAACTCCTTTGGTAATCTCTCCAACACTATCTTCATCCTCAACTCTAGACTCTTTAGGGTTAGATTAATCAAACACTATATGAATAGTCTCCTCCCCCACCAAAGTCCTCTTATTAAACACCCTAAAGGATTTCTCCACACTTGAATATCCTAAGAACACTCATTCATCAGATTTTAAACATAATATAACAAAAAAATAGCGAGAAGATTTGATCTTCATATGCTTGAAATTTAAACATTTTAATATGGATGTCTTTTATATACATGTTCATCTCATTTTTGTTATATTATCTTTCATACTCAATTTTTTTCATCACAAAATAATTACATAATAAGAAGTTTCATCAATCACTAATAATAATATAAGTAAATTAGCAAACTTATAGTTTTTTTTTTAAAATTAAAGACATACCTTAAATGTTTATGAGTAAAAAAAAATTACATAACCAAATCCAATCATATGGTCTCTCAATAAGTTCTTCGTAAGGCTTTTGTCTTGCTAACATTCCACCTCCATGTTTTTTATAATGTACATAAGCCTTTGAGCGAAAATCAGAAAATCTCTTGCTCATCGTGTGCATCACACAATCCTTTACATGTGATTCTTCAATGGACAAATTAATCTTTACCTACAAAATTTTTTTAAAGCAACGTTAAGTTGTTTGAAATCTTTATTTAAACCTGTATATGTTAGAGTTCATAAATTTGGGGAATATAGAGCAGCCAATGCACTGTATTTAATTAGACTTATACTTTTAGTAAACTGTGATTCATTCTTCAATGTAACTACAATGCATAATAACATGAAATTGCATTGTTGAGCACAAATAGGTCCAATCAAATGAGTTGTACTTTGAATGTTATCCAACTACTAATTGAGATAGTCTAAGTCTGCTAATCTTAAATTAGTAAGTGCTACTAAAAGATGATAGATAAGAGTTCAACAGGATAGATATATAGATATATTTTGATGACCATACTACTAAGACTTCGAAAGACATGAAAGCTAGACTTAAGGATAAGAACTTATTTGCCTATCTGCTACAAGTTAAGAAATCATATAGTTCTGTATTATTAATAAATGATATTTATTGATGACAACTCTCTCTTTGGAAGTGCTTCGGTCTGAATTTAGAATCAAGGCAACACAATCATAGGTTACTAAAGATGTCAAGAATTATTAGACGCATGGTGCAGTTACATGATTCTACATTTGAATTGCTCATTTTTCTAGATTATTTTCGTCCTAGTCATTTACTTTTCCCATTAGGAGTTTGAGTGCTTTGCTAAATTTTTTTGTCATTATCATTTCTGTTCCAGCTTTTCTAATTTTATGTGTTTTATCACTTCATGACTGATAAAAATCAAACTGTCATCCACACGAAACTAGCATTCACCATCAAGGTATATTCACTTATTTTTAATGTGCTATTTTTTTTTTTATCACCTTTCTTAGGAATAGTAAGTGATAAATCACAAAATTAGTGGCTGTAACCCAGAACCTGGAGAAGCAATCTTCTCCAACCATTGGGCCTATTAGTTTGATTGTTCAGTTCTTCTGCAAACTGAAACGTTAACTTAGCTTATAGGACGTCATAACCAATATTTATGTAATTAAAGGCTTAAAGGAAAAAAAGGAACTATATGATTTCTCGTAGTCCTAAATGGTTGAAACTTATGCTGTTATAAAATTTGGTGATTTTGGATCAAACCAATAGCTTTAAGAAAAAAAAACACGTTCTTTACAATCATTAAAATGCACGTCTTCCTAGTAAGATATAGGTATGAGAAGTATTCTGTAAATTTTCCATCAAAACAAAATGATCTCTTACTATAAAGTGTAGAGGAATCCCCAGTCATACCAGTTGAAATGGCATGAAAAATGAAGTTCCAGCATGTTATATGCTATTTTTTTGTTATATTTTCTCTATGTAGTAAAACTCGGAAGAAATGCATTGAAGCTATAATAGTCATTATTGCAGGTTTAAATAAAGATTTCAAAAGAATGTTGACTGAGAATACTGATATGAAGCCATTATAAGTGAAAGATGTTCTTACAGCCTCAGACGGAACTCACAAGGCACCTTCTATACAAGGTTAAATTCTAGTATTATAAAAATACCAATGTTAAATTGCTCACATCTCTGAATATGGTCACATCAGCATTTAACTCATTCCATACAACATATTTTTCTTATATATTTATGTATATTTTTTCTTGCATTTTTGTTTGTTTTGTTCTTGCATTGTTCTGAAAAGTCTTTGATTAAAGCAAAGCAAGGGGATGATCTAATTTGATCTGAATATGATGCTGATAGTAATTCATCATGTCCTTCAAAGCTCTCTGATTGTTTTGCATTCAAAATTCTTAGCGACTCAAATATCTAGTCTAATTTGTTATTATTGTTTGAATGAGTAATCCGGATTCAAGCAAAAAAGTTAAATTATGATGGTTTGTTTGAATGGTGAATGTCAATGATTAGAAATTCATAAATGACAAAATCATATAATTAGTTGAAGTCAATCCAGTTGATGAAATTCAATTTTCATCAAATTTTAATAAATTCCATAACACAATCAATCCAAAAAAAAAAAAAAAATAGAGTGCTATGTAAAAGTAGAAGAAAAGCACAATAGTTATTACCATCAATTTTTTAGCTTATATGCCTAAAGTTAGAAAAGATCAAACATAAAGATAAATGATATTCATAAACAGAATTGAATTTTATCCCACAAATAACTAAAATAATCGTTAAAGTTCTTACCGTCAATTTTTTTAAAAGTAATTCTTTATCAACATCACTCACTTGTTCCCATCTTTTGACTTGCATGGGTGCAAAGTTTCTAATTATAATACCCGCTTCTCTAGACAACTTTGAGTGATACTCTCCAACTGGCCTATTCAAGCCCTCTGGAATGATTATTGATATCTTACCTTTTATTTTGTAATGCTCCTCTAATGCTACACATCTATTTAGACTCCTTTTTTTATTAGAACTTGAAGCTGAAAAAAAAAAGTAAATAAGAAATTCATTTATATTTATCATAATTATTAAATTTGAAGAAGCCAAAAGTAATAATACCAATGATAGTTGTCTTAGTCTCTGGTGCTGATAGATGAGATAAACTTAGCGAATCAGCTATTGGGGATGCTTCTCCTATAGACAAACTTCCTGCAATTGATACATGCAAATAGTTAAGAGTAAGAGCTAGTAATGTACAAAAGAAATTATATTTATCAAAGGATAGTATTAAAGCCTGAAAGAGAAAAATCATTAAAAACAATTTAACCTAATAAGATAAAAAAATACCAACTTACCATTATTAGCAGTAGATAGGACATGTGAAGCATCATTTTTTAATTAAGACTCCACATTATTACTAGTTGATTGATGGTGCAAACAAATGTGAGTAATTTGCAATTATTCGAGAGCTTATCCATTTTCCTGGAGCCATGACTTAATAAACTGCAAAATGAAACAACAACAAAAAAAAATTATTGAAAGCAAAAATATCAAGTTATTATAATATATAAAACAAATAAGTCATAAAGAACAACCTAGTCTTTATCACTATCAATGTTGATATATACATCAACATCATGATCACTAAAATATTTAGCTAATGTTGCATCATATTCCTCTTGTTCATCTTCATCACATATAAAATCAATAGTCTGAGTTGGTTGTGAATGCACATTTTGTACATATTCCAAAATTTGTGGCTCTACATCTTCTTACGTAAGGGACCAATCTCACCAAAATCATCTTGGAAGTTTATATCATTTTGCTCATCTTCTTGATTTGTTATATTTCAGTTAGCTGATCAATGTTAAGTTGATATTGATTCAAGTAATTCACGAGGGTGGGATCAAATAAATGCATATGCTGCACTTTCTGTACAACATGCCAATCAGCTCTTAACTTTGTATCTTGAACATAAAATACTTGAGTAACTTGACCTGCTAATACATAAGGATCATTATCATACCAAGATTTACTTATATTTATAGATGTGAAATCGTCATCAATTATAATGGGCTTTTTATGCTCAAGATCAAACCATTTGCACTTGAACAATACTACATGGTTTCCATCAATATAGCATACTCGATCATCTACAAAATATTAAATTTAATGATATCAAGAATTTAATACTAGAGCTAGGATTATGTATGAATATGCTTAGATTTCAAGATCATTGGCCAAAAAAAAAATTGAAAACTCAAGCATCCATATATTCAGAAAGCCAACGGATTTTCATCATTTTGATTATCAGTATATCTCTTGCACTCCAATAAGGATTGAAAATTTAAACATTACAATTTAATGTTCAGATTATGGATTCAGGGGACTAGTAAGGATAGTCCCATGTCCATCATATTATGTTCACCACCCATAGATAGAGATGGTTTTCCCCAAAAAAAGAAAGCATGCATCATAAAATGGTTTCCTTCACAAATAAATGCATCCACAACAACATTAAAATTTGAATAGAAGATTTCATTTCAAGGATACAATTTCCCAGCCACGGATTGACCGAGATATCATTAAACATATTGTTTTTAGTTGAATATGCTCGACGAAAGTACCAAAAAATCAAGATCAGTAACTGATATAAATAATAGATCAAATAAAGGGCATTTAATACAAAAAAATAAATAAACACTTAGTCAGACTACTTCCTCAACATTTTTTATGGCCATTGCACACTTGAAAGCTTAATAGGTATGTGGCATCAGGCTAATTCATTCAACCTCCATACAAGAAACATGAAATTTATCAAGAAATAAGAGAATTACAAACAGAAAAAAAATCATATTTTAAACAAAATGCATTTGCAATGAATGCATAAATTATCTGCCTAAATGTGATATATAGGCATAATTCATATAAGATATCACACAAGATCAATTTATCCTACTTCAAACCAAACAGCCTAGGAAAATCATAACCTGAACAAACGTAACCAAGAAGAAATCAATCTAGAAGGAACGCAAGTACTATCATCTTTGAAATAATACTACTAATATTAATAGGGGCTTCTAACATCCTAAGATAGGATCAATAACTTCACAAACTACAAAAAATAAAGACAGAGTTGCCAGTGGCAGAACCCAACTGCCATCAGAGTTCCTCCACCTTGGCGAAGTGAGATTGTTCAGTAAAAAATAAAAAAAGACTGAATGCAAAATAATGAATGGAGAGTGAAAATCCAAACATAAATAGCCATTGGATATTTTCAACTCAACCATTGAAAATCTACCCTAACCTCTTAAAGCAACAATAATAATCAATAATGTTGAATGATACCATAAAAATGAGAGGCAAGCATAGTATAAAGAAGATCATATAAATTTTGAAATTAAAATAGGAAGAACAGTATTAGGGATAACCTAAGAAGTAGAAACCAGTGGAGATGAGTTTGCGGGATTGTTCGAAGAATTGTGAGTGAAGAAACTCATATCAACGGTGAATGAGAGAGGTCGTGGCCGAGAGTCCGTCGATTTGCAGTTGGCAATTGTAGTTAGCGATTGCAGTTTGAGGTCGCTAAAGAGGTAGGGTAAAGGGAATAGCAAAAATGAGAGAGGTACGTCGCGTGTGTGAAAATGAGACCGGGAGACTAGGTTTTGCTATAATGTATAATTTTATTAAGTAATTAATTGATAAAATTTAGATATTATATATTATAATTTATTTCATCAATAAATTATTAGATTTATCCACATAAAAATATAAATATTAAATTTAATTCATCATTTTATGTTTTAATTTGAATTTCAAAAATATTATTACAACAAAATATTTTTCCGGGGGCGCTACCCCTGAAAACCCCTGCAGGGGTGCTGCCCCTTGACCCCGCGACCTGATCAGGCAGGTCAAACCCCGTTAGGGGGTGCTACCCCCTTGAACCCTTGACATATCTGCGAATCGTATGATTATGTACACAATAAAAAAGAATAATTATTCACTATAATGACATGTATATTATTCAGAAAAAGTTTTTTTTGAATTTTTAGCGACAAAATTAGCGGCCTTTTTTTGTGGCTAATATCAAACTTCATTATTATTTACAGGCCTTACTAATTTTTGGTCACTAAAAGATATCTTTAGCGACCTTTTTTTTTGTCTCTATTTTTTTGGTTCCTATTGACCCATTTTCTTGTAGTGAATACAGACACTGATTCTTTTGAGTCTTAAAGTGATGATGTTGCCTTAATCACTAGGCAATTCAAAAGCTTTCTAACGAAGAATCACAAGCACCATCAGAAATGGAACAAATACAAGGGTAGAAAAAATTATAAAAGTTTCACTAATATTGTTTATTTTGAATGTAGGAAGCCTGGACATGTCAAAGCAGGTTATCATACACTTAAAGATCACCCAAGTAAGGAGAAGGGTGAGGAGAAACCCAAGTACATGAAGGACAAGAAGCAGTTCCAAAAGGAATTCTAGGCGGATTCTATATTTGACTCCTCTGAGATTGAAGCTAAGGAAGAGACAACAAATACGTGCTTGATGGATATTCATCTTGGTCAGTCTAACCAAAAAGATGAATGTGAACCAACCTATGATCAATTACTTGAGGTTTATGAGAACATTCATGTATCATATAGTAAATTTAAGAAATCTCATGCTAGTTTAAAATTGGAGTTCTCAAATTTGCAAAAAGAGCTTAAAATTTTAAGTAAATATCACACTCAAATTGATAGCAATCACATGCCATTACTTGACAAGTTTGATAAATTAAATAAAAAGCATTCTGAGTTGGTTATTGAGCATGATTCATTGAAAGCATCCTACATCTCACTTGAAATTGATTTTAAAACTTATATTAAAGAATTTAAGCATAGGGAACACTATTTGAATGTTGATAATACTATTTTATAAAGTGCTAACTTTAGGTTTAAAGCTGAACTGAATGCACTTAAGAAAAATAGGACTACACCAACACTTAATCTAAAGCCAAGACCTAGAAAGAGGAATTATTGTTGCAAATCTATTTTCATGACTT